TGTGTGTGTGTGTGTGTGTGTGTGTGTGTGTGTGTGTGTGCGTGCGTGCGTGCCATGCTGACTTGTGAAACTTCTTTCCCGACAGCAGCCAACATAAACTGAACTCAGCAAGCTAACTTTATATTTCTATTTATTTTCCTGTGACTGTGTCAATTTCCCATTTACAAACCTGTAAAAAGCAAAAGCAGCTCCTCAACTGCTTCATAGATTCATGTTAAATTCATTAAAGTAAACTTTGTTGTGGGGGATCATGGTTGCTTGAGAGAGGAACCAAAGCCAAATAAAACACAATTTGCAAATACTGGTGTCATTTTAGACACAATGACCCAKATCTTTGTCTAGACAATAGTACCCAAAGACAACTGGCAACTCAAACTGTGGAAAAAAAATAACATTTTCAGCAACATTTCAGTTCTTCAAAGCTTGACCTTCCATGCTACCGTCTACGTCTGATGCTCTTTGTCGACGTGTCGGCTAAAACCACCACTGTTTATTATTTTCACACATGAAAGCTAGCCTTCTATTTCCTTAGAAACACTGAGGGTGGTCGAATWTTGGACTGAGATACTATTAAAGAAAAACAGCTTTAGAATTTTGGGAAACATGCTCAAAAATACAGGAGCATCCCAATGTTCCTTGGTATCCATATCCCCAGCACCTAAGTTCCTCTGTACCTATGTTTCCTGGCACTTACAGATRTTTCCTGGTACCTATGTTCCCCAATACTTGTTCAATATCAATGTTTCCAGTACCTATTTTCRCTGGTACCTTAGTTTCCTGGTATTTATGTTCCCTGATACAGTACCTGCACTGCAGTTCAGTATGATTCATTTGTTTTAAAAGATATTTAAAGGAGGAGACAAGCATCTTTCACAACTTTCATGATTAATCCTGCAAGACTGTAGGTACCAGGGAACATAAGAAGTGGGAAACAAGGAGATGACCCCATTATATAAACATCAAGCCAACTTATTTAATATTTATTCCTATACAACTACAAAACTGAGTTTTTTTTTAGCAGTTAAGAGCAACTTTTATACAAAATGTGTTTTGAATTTTTCATTTGCTCACACAGAGTTAACAAAAGTTTGTATCTGCACCACGAATGAAGTTGGTGAAATTACCCTGAAATTTCTTTGTTAGCACAACCTAAACCTCAGCTATCTCTCTTGTTCCACCATATGTGTGCTGTTTTTTTCTCTCCAGGCCTGCCTCCAAAATCAAGGGCAAAGCAGGGGGAGGGATGGAAAATTGAAAAATGGGCCCAGCTACCAAGACATACAGTATACAAACTGTGAACACACACAGCCACTGTTGGTCACGTGGTGGGCAGCGAGGCCAAGAGAACAAGAGTCATTTATGACAAGCTGTAAAGAAGCAGATTATTCCTTCACTCTCCATCTTTCTTTTGAGTCTAACAAGGATTTTTCAGGATTATTTAGGCTATCTAGTAAATTTGATTCACTCACTAACTCTCTCATAAATTTACTTTCTGTGCCTCTGGGCTGACTGCTGCTAGTGTATCCTGTGGCTCCAGTGTGGTGACGCGTCTGCTTCTATAAAAACACTCCCCCACCAGTGCCGTAAAGACCTCCACTTCTCTTTTAGTAGTCCCAAACTACTCCTCACACCACCACCACCATCTCCGGTTGGCCCTGAAGGTATCCCAGCATGCACCCCTCCTTCCTGGAACTTCCAGCAGCCTCCATCAAAGCGTCTATTGATTGAGACTTGTACATGGCCGCCATTGTTGGCCGGTTWGCTTACTACACAGCCATGTGTGGTCAAAGGGCTGAATGCTGCTTTGGTAAACACAACCCTGGGTTTTACAGTGACGTGTGGTCCAAAGTATATTGAGACAAGCAAAGAAACAGGGCATGTTTGATGTATGTTTGGTAGAGCAGGTCACTTTGGCTGAGCTGTGTGATGCATGAATTCTGTTACCTCACTATGAACTTAAAACAGTAAGRTTTTTTTTCAATGAAATGGTGAATCTTGTTTCAAAGGCTGTTTTAAATCCTTGCGTTATTTTAGGATATACTGCGGCTGCATATTTGGTAAATGATTGTAAGCAATGTATATTTAGGATTTAAAATTATGACAAAAAACAAGACATTTAAAAGTTTTTTAGTACCTTAAAATTTGTCTGTTTTTTTCTATTGGATAGCACTTAATGTGTAAATGCCAGCTATGAGTAACAAAACCAAATCATTTATGCCTACTGATGAAATTTTTGCAAAAAAGTAACATTTTTTTATATTCACTTGCATTTGTACATATTAGTTTTATGACCTTATATCCATCCATCCAGGTATGGATCCACCTATTCATCTTTGGATCCATTCAACAATGGATATTTCTGTGGGTTAATTTACCTATCCATCCTTGGATCCATCCATCTTTGGATGGATCAATCAATGAATCAATCAATGAATCAATCAATGAATCAATCAATGAATCAATCAATGGATCAATCAATGGATCAATCAATGGACCAATCAACCAATCAATCC